ATCTGCCCTGGGTTGCCTTCTATCAAGCAAGAAAGTTTTGGTTTTGACTTTAAGCTCTGTCTTTCCTAAACTAGCAAACAAACTGAGATTAGGCTCAAAACATTCTCAGACATCTGCATTCCTTTGAGCCCACAGCAGTGTTTTATGCCTACCCTGTTCTGTACTGTTACAGATTTAATACAGTCTTTTCAAACAAGTAGTGTTGTGGTGCACTGCAAAAGTTGGTTGTGCTACCACAACAGAGCTGTTAGGGCCTTACCTGCATGGAAGCACGTGGGCTTTTTTCCTTTGGAGAAGGCTTCACCCCTTTTTGAGGAAAGAGGGACGTTCCTGGATTTATTAGAAAATGACAGGAGGAGATAGTTGGAATCCAAGAAGACAGCAGGGGAGCAGAGGGAATATGGAGGCAGCTTAAAGGTAAAATTCTGGAAATGCATTGTCTGTTGCAGTGGGATTCAGGATGACCAGTTTGTTCTTCCCTAGTCTGGTGTGTTTTATGACTCTGTTTTGCAGTTGAATTTGGTAATCTGCACACATTCCAGTGGCGTGACATGCTTTGCTGCTTAAGTTAGATAATCTCTGATACTGCTTGATACTGTTTGCCTTGTGGTTTCCCTGTACCATTGAGAACTGTGGTGTTGAAACAGAAGGAAGGGCATTTAGCTGAAGATGTCGAATTAATGCATTTCAATTGGAACCTCTGTCTTAAATGTTGCTGCATGAGATATATATATATTTTTTTTTTTACCCCCTTCTCTTAAAACTGAGCAGTTGGATGATGCAAATCAGTGTGAATAAATCCATCGATGCAGCAGCACTGAACACAATTTAAACTGCTCACAGGCATGGAATGGCTCTCACTTAGCTTAAAGGCTTAAACTGTTCAAGATCACTACTAGTGGTAGGCACTGAGAACAACTTTCAATGAAAGAAAAGAACCATCTCAATTGGTTTATTGAAATACTTTTTTTAAAAAAGAGTAAAAATAATATAATGACATGGGAAATATGCAGTGACCTGGTGTAGCTGGATTTGTTTTCTAGAAATTCAGTCTCACTGCAGTAGTAGAAAGGCCTGGGACAAAGTTGCATTACAGAAAGCAGCATCCTCAAAGAACAGGAGCGAGCACACAAAGGTGACATTTCTTATCCTTAAGAAGAAGGGCATACAAGACATAGCTGCCAGCAGGTTGTTTGAGCTTGGTCACTCTGAATTTAAAGGTAGTTAATACTGGAATAAATGGCCCAGAGAGGCTGTGGAGTCTTTGTCCTTGGAGTCGGTCAGCACCCGGCTGGATGTGGGCCTGAGCAGCCTGTTCCAGATGACCCCAGCATCGGACTAGACAGTCTTAAGAGATTTCTTCCAGCCTTAATGATTCTGTGAAAATATCTCTGCTCACTTCTCTTCCTACTTCCTCAGTGAAAATTAGTAATAAACTGCTGAAGTAGTTTTAGAAATAACCTAAAAACTAACTGAAAAGAAGCTTCCACATGTAACTTTAGTCCAAAATGAAAACTAATTTGAGGTATTTGTAGGAATAGTAAGACTAACCTGTGAAATGTAGTTAGTACTTTTTTTCAGGAGTTAATCAGGGAGGGGCTGGGATTAGGAAAAAGCAACTTTGTAATAGATATTCTATTTTTCTGCTTGGTTTTGTGCTGTCTGCTTAAGCACCTAGTTCTGGTTACTCAGAGTGAAAACATGGGAGTGTTTAAGTTGTGGATTTGGTTTCATTGTGCAACTTCTGTTCACCTTAACAGTATTTGAAGTCTTTCATAGCCTGCAAAAGAAACAGATAAGTCTCTTTTTTTTTTATTTTCTCATTTTTGAATGATTATTTCTTTATTGGCTTCAGAATTGAACATCTTTTGATCTGTGATTGACTGTGGGGAAAAAAAAAAGTCTTTAAATATTCTTTTATTTTCATTAAATGGTAGAGTTCTCATAGGTTAGCAAGTATTATGCTGTCCCTTCATCTCTGGCTGAGAGTCCTCTCTAGGCCTCACAGTAAACCATTTCAGCAAGGGGTCACAAGCAGCAAATACTTTGTTAAAAGGAAAGTCTGTTTCTCCTGTAGGCATATCAAATTCTGCAATGGTCTAGATCAAACTAATGGACCAACTAATGTTTCCTTCCCTTACCAGTAGCACTAGGTTCCTTTAGAGGAAGATGCCTGGACTGCATTTTGAAATATGATTTAGTCATGGTGATGACTGATTGTATTTTGACTGCAGACTAAAAAGTTGCAACCCAGATAAATAGATTTCAGTGCTTCATTGTGCAGACTCTGAAAAAGCCAGCAGGTGTTGCTTTCCCCTCTGTCCCCAGTAATCGCTTTCCCTGTGGCCTAAGGCGCAGAGAGGAGCAATTGCAAGGGTTTCATCTATATTCAGCCAAGGAGGTGGTTTTCTTTTTCTCCTCATGTACTGCTTCCAGTTTGCTGGTTTTTGAACAGTGTGTCATGCGACTTGTCTTACTGGGGAATACCCATGTAGAAAATGAAAAAGCACATACCAGGCCAAAAGTAACAGTTTTCTGTATCTCTGTGTGTGGGTGAAAGGGGCAGACAGTTTCTGCCACTAGGATCACAGCCTGGCAGGAGGCCAAGGAAAAAAAGCTCAGAAAGAAACATGAGGAAAACCTGTTATTACCACAAATAAAAAGGAGCAGAACCTGATTCATTCCTGTAGCTGTGCCTGGGAACAATCCAAGTTTCATCAGTGTTACAACGGCAGCTTGTTCATTCTTTATTTCTCTTGCACAGCTGCTTCTCTGTTTGCCGAGGGCCACGTGGCATCAGAAAGGTTCTGACTTGTCCAGAGGCCTGAATCTCGGAGAAGCAAAATAGTTCAAAAAGAGCTGAATCCAACGCAAAGCAGTGAATTTTAGTGGCAGGCAAGTGGCTGAGTGACAGAGTAGCTCTGATTACAGAAAAGGCACTTTCTCCCATGTGTCCCAAGTAATAAAGTTGTGTTACTCTGGTGGCAATACTCTGGCAGTCGATCTGTGGTGATGAGCCTGCTCTTGGCAACCTTCCTGCAGTACAGTTAAGGCAGAGAATGATGTCAGTGTCTGTCCCCTGAGCCCCTGTCCTAGGAATGATAGCAGGCCTGTGAAGTCATGAATGATGAGGAATATACATCACAAGGAAAAATTATCCCGTTAGCAAGCTGAATTCAGGACAGTTTCCAACAGCCAGAGGAAGACTGTCGGTCATTACACCGGGTGTGATAGCTGTGATGTTTCTGTGTTGGCTTTGTCTGCAAGGCCCCTGGCAGTGTTTCATCTGAACAAGGAGTGTCTAGGAAGTGTTTTGACCTTAAAGGAGAAATTATCTGTCTCTTAGGAGCTCTGAGCACATCATCTGCCAGTTATTAGCCAGTTATTCCAGTACTGAACACCTGGGAAAGGCATTGAGTTTTTTTGTGTAGAGCTTGAAGTTGCTGTATAAATCTTTCCAAACATCTCAGTCTTGTTTGCAGAGATTATTTACTGTTATCAGAGGTTTTTGGGTTTGTTTTGAGACATAAGTTCCTGCGATGCTTGGATTCTTTGGAAAAGCTTGCAGTACCTTCCTCCCTGGTCCCAAAAGACTGTTCTTTGGTGGGTTTCCTGGCATATGTGTGTTGTCAGAGTGTGTTTAGTGTTGCTGTGGCAGCCTCTGAAGCTCTGAATAGCTGCTGTCATCCTCAGGCAGACGTTTTGGTTTTTGTGATAAGCATATATGCTTTTTGTTTACTCCCAGTGTCAGTTTTACTTGACAGCAGGAGCGAATTTGGCAAATGACGACCACTTGGAGAGTTTTGTGAGGGTGGAGTTGCAGACATGCAGTTGCTTTAGGGATTGAATTGAGCAGTTGCACTGACATTTCAGAAATGGGATTCATCATTTGATGGTCATGGATAGTGATGGGATTCTGTTTTCCTAAGGATGAGTTGCATAAGCAGGTAGATGAGAGGGATGGTTAATATGTGCTGAAGGGTAAAGACAGTGAGTAGGCAGGGAATGTATTATGATCCTAGAGGATGCTAGGTGATAGCTAGGAGTGCATGAGCTCTCCTCAGGCATAAGGAATAGAGAAAGTAAAAAACATGTACAAGACAACCAGACTTTCCCTTTTAAGATTTGTTTTATTGATAACTTCACCATTCTCATAAAATGAGTAGAAATTGTAAAACAAATCCTTATCTGACCTACTTCACAACATGGTAGTGATTTATGTTCCTTCACATAATAAACCTTTGGGTAGGGAAAGATTTACAGATGTTCTCCAGCTGTTCTTTGAGCCTTGTGTTTGACAGTGCCTTAAGTGCACTGCATAAAACATGTTCCTCTGTGTTAGCAAGTCATGTAAATGGGTCATTATTTGGAGGATCTCCTGGGACTCAGCCCTAACAGGGTATGGGTAACTTCTGCAATGAAAATGGATTTTATGCCTGTTAGAATGAGTCTCCTTCTAAAATTAGAAATTACTGAGTATGCTGTGCTTCACCAAAAAACTTCCTTTAAACTCTCTGTAAATGCACTAGCTTCTGCACTTCTTTGCAAAGCCATAGGAAGGGCTGGTTTTGGTGTGCAGAGTGAAGAGGCAATGAACCATTTGTTACTTGTGACAGACCATTTTCATGTTGACTATGTGCTGTGTTAACATTTAACCCAATGAACCTGTCTTCCTAGCTGCACAGGACAGATGAGGGTTCAAATTAAAATTGCCGTGTGGTTATTTCTGAAGTCGTGTCTCCCTCACAATTGTTAGTAGCTGGTGACCTTTCCTTTGGCCTGTGCTTTGGCACCGCGGGACTGTTGCCTATCTTGAACAAACTCATTAAAATCTAAGGACAATACAGCAGCTAAATGTTGAGAGCTGAAAATGAGAAACAAGATTTTGTGTTGGAAATAAAACTTGTTACAAAGTTTAAAGTGCTATCAAAATTATTTTGGTGATGGGAGCTTCTAAATCAGCTCAGTGATTATGTGCTTTATTTCTCTTCCTCTTGCAGCTCTGCAGAATTGAATATTCCTGTGACAGGAGGATTGTTATGGACCCAGAATGACTTCCATAAGATAAAAAGTGGCCTTCAACTTTTCTAGGACAGCTCTGCAGCTTTCTGTATCACACAAGATAAGTGGCACGGAAGAACTAGTAATGGTGATAGGGAAATAGCCACTCTAGGATTTTTGCTTGTTTGTTTGTGAAGATTTACTGATTTTTACCGTGTAAAATCAGTATTTTATAAAGGTGGTGTTTTTTAAGTTTCATGTGTAGTAAACCATTGTCTTGCTTAACCACTATCAGGAACTTCTAGCTCTAGTTGATGTTTGCCAAATACAGTGAGAGTACTTCGGAATCCCGTGGTGTTCCATGATATTTTTTTTGAGGCTAATAAATACAACCAGCTGAAGGCAAACCTTCTTTCTGGATCCTGTTTTTTCTTTTTTACTCAGGTATTCTGGAAGGTGTCCTCTGGTCCCCACTGGCCAGACTCTTGAGCTTTTCCTGTTTCGGTGACAGTCCTGTGTGAGTTTGCATGATTTTGCCAGGAAGAGACTGTGCTACAATTTTCATCTAGCTAGGATTCACAGGAAGCTTCAGGGGTTAAGACTAGTTACAGCGTGGCTGAATGCACTGTAGTGCTTAAATATCCTCAAATTTATTTTCTCAGTTTTCTTCAAGTCATAATCTTGAGGCCACTACTGTCTCTTAAATTAAAGTTTTCTGCTTGATGATATTTCTATTTAGGATTTTGCTAAGGTTGGTAGCTAATACTGTGGTCTCTGCTGAGAGCTAGTGCAATTATTGTAGAAATGGTCCTGGGTACCTTGTTGGAAGGTTGTTGAGAAAAAGCACTTCCAGCTACTTTTTCCTAAATTCAGTTTTCTTTACCTGTATTGAAGGTTTTGGAACTTAGAGGCTTCTGCAATTACCTGTCGAAAGAGTTTAAGCATATATTTATTGCAGGATTCTTCAGTAAGAATTTTTGGGAGTGTATCTACTAGTGGGTAAGACAGAGCCTTTCTCCAGGTCAGTAACAATTTGCACTATATACAAACTAAACAGAAACAGGAACATGTCAGTGCAGCATTGTGAAATGGAATCTTCTTAGTTCTGTAGAGCTGCTGCTGGTGTTACGTGCTGATGTTCTGTAGAAAGATACACAAACGGACATAACGACTTCAGCAGAGCATTGGATAGGATTGAACTGCAAGTTTAGAACGACGACTTGGATGCTTTGGGCTGGCTCTCAGGTAAAGGGTTAGCTCAGTGTCGATGGTGTCGGTATTGTTTCTTAGTTCTAATTTTTTGTCCCTGTTCTACTGCAGTTACCCTCTACCAGAGAGCCAAAAGTTGTGTAAAACTGAAGATTCCGTGTACATTTCCTTCGCTAATGCAAAAGAAAACAAACTTCTCTGTTAGGAGGGACTTTTCATGTAAACCATTCCTCTTTCTAGTATCTTTAGAAATTTCTCCTTTTACCCAGCAGTTCCTCAAGCTTATTAAGGAAAGTTTGAGTGAAGAGGATTTGTTATTACTGAATTTCACAGAGTGTAAAATTACTTAAATTATTATTTGGTACTTCTGAGGTCTATCAGTGCAAACAAGAACAGTTCAAAAACCAAAGTGTATGCTGGAAAATACTGTGCTCTATGTCACCTTTTGCCCTTTGGTAAAGGTTTACTTGGTAAAATTACATGCTACTGTAGCTTCTTTGTCAGCTGTGGTTACTGCCCTGCCTATCTGCCATTAACCCATCCACTGAATTATAGGATGAAAATCCTGGTCTTTGATCTAACTGCAGTCAAATAAAATAGTTAAATCCAGTGCTGTGGATGATGTAGAAAAGCACAAAACTGCCAGATGCTTTAAAAAAAATACCAAGACTTGAGGAGAAGCCATAGTAATGATATGAAGTTTAACCAAAGTGTTACTGGGGGCAGGGAAGCAGGCTTGAAACAAGGAAGGGGGG